TTCTAAAAAGAAGAGCCCAAAAATTCCACTATAAGACTGCTAGATTTATTAACCAAATTCAGTAGCATATCTGGATAAAAAATCTGCACTCCAAAGTCAATAGCTTTCCTGTAACAAAATAATAAACTCACTGAAAGAGAAATTACACAAACAGCACCTGTCATAATAGTATCCAGAAAAATGAAATGCCTAGGAAGCAATCTAATGAAGGATGTGAAGATCGCTGCATTGAAAATCACGGTCGTCTGAACAAGGAGTGAGACAGTATAAGAAAATGCAAATATATCCTTTGCTCTTGGATACTAATAACCAATATAGTAAAATGAGCATATTCCCAAAACTTTTACGCTGATTTAATGCAATTCCAGATATGTTCTAATAGTATATCTCAAAGAACTAGAGAAATCTATCCTAAAATTCATTTGGAACCAGAAGAGACCTGGAACAGCAAACACAGTTCTGGACAATAAAGGCAAAGCAGACAACATCACAGTCCCTCACTTGAATTAACACTGTAAAGGTATTGAAATAGAAACAGAATAGTACTGGAAAGAAAAACAGACCTGAAGGTCCATGGAACAGATTAGTGTGTCAAACACACTCACTGGAAGAAAGACAGCCTCTCTAAGGAATGGTGCTGGAAAACTGGCTCTGCTCACTACAGAGATTAAAATGGGACCTATGTCTTTCACCACACAATAAGCTAATTCTGAAATGGATCAAGGATCTCAATATTAAAATAGAAACACTAAATCTGGTATAGGCAAAGTCTATGAGTAAAACCCCGATCACACTACAATTATCACAAAGAATCAACAACTGAGGTCTTGCCTTATTAAAAAGCTTTTTTACAGGAAGTCAAACTACCATCAGAATAAAAAGGCAGCCCACAATATGGGAAAAAATGTCTGACAACTGTTTCTCAGACAGAAATTACTATTCAGAACATATAAGCACCTCAAAAAATCAGGTCTCCCTAATATAAAGCCTGAATTCAGAAATGGGCATCTGAAATGAATACACACTTCTCAGAAAAAGTACAAACAGCTATCAAACATTATGAAAAAATGTTCAACATCACTGGTCATTTGAGAAATGCAAATTAAAACAATGCTGAGATTCCATTTCTCCCTAGAAAGAATGGCTATTATCAAGAAATCAATCAATAACAAATGCTGTAAGGGCTGTGGGGGAAAAGGAACCTTTCTTCATTGTTGGTGGGAATGCAGGCTGGTGCAATCACTGTGGAAATCAGTGTGGAGATTCCTTAAAATACTAGAATTCGAGGTTCACTTGTCCTAGCTGTTCTTCATTTGGAATGTCTTCCCAGAAGAATGAAAAACATACCGCAACAATATATGTGCACCAATGTCTATAGCAGCACAATTTGTAGTACCCAGACCTTGGAAACAAGTGCCCATCAACCAAGGAATGGATAAAAAAGAGGGGGTCTTTTTATACAATGGATTACTACTCAGATATAAAGAATAATAAACTGGAGACTTTTATAGGTAAAGGGATGCAACTGGACACTATATTCTCAAGTGAAATAAACCAGATGCACATGTGCACACATCGTGTTGTTTCCCTAGTGTGGGAAGCTGAACAAGTAAGTCAGATGTAAAATGTATAATAGATACAGTAAAATAGGAAGAAACTCCAAAAGGAAAGAGCAACTGGCATGCAGGAATGAAAATAAAGAAGAAAAAAATACATATATATGAGAGTTAGGACAGTTATGCTACTAGTTTCTGTTAGTCGATTGAAAAGAAAGGTTTGTGCTAATATTGTTTAAACAATGAAATGCTGTTATCTTCTACTCTGCCTAACTAATTTAAAGAAGAAAGTACACAATATATCAGCCATTGTTACTCTCTCATTATCTTGTTTTGAAATTTTGGAGTTTTTGTCTCTTTAAAATAAATTAAAAAAAAAAACATTACTAAGGAGTAGTAAACCTTCCACATTCCTGGCTGGCGAAGGAATCCCACACAAGCCAGGAAAGCCCTGGCTTCATGGCAGAACCAGAGCTTCCAGGCTAGAATGGAGCCACAAAGTGAGAGGTGGAGCTACAAAAGGAGCATGCCAGTTCCCCTCTTCACCGGCTTAGCTACTGTGGGATTTGCGCATGTGACTTAGCTTCTCTGTGCTCTGGTTGCTCCTTCTGTGGAGGATGGAGAATGGCTCCTGTCGCCCAAGGCTGAGTATCACCAGTTTCCCATAGAACCAATAGGACATCACCTGTAGTCTGCATAGAAATCACCTTCAGAAAAGGAGAACTCGGGAAGGAAATGGATCCAGCTCAGTTCTGCAGCTTCTAAGTCTCCTCCAGGTCAGTGGCCTTTATTCTCCTGGCCCTTTGGGAACCTCTGAGCTGTACAAAGCCAAATAAGAAATGCACGCACCTCTGAGCATTTCCCTTTTCCTGCAGTAACTAGTTGGGTCATTATTTGAACTATCACGATTAGGCCCAACCACATCAGTCCAGAAGAATCTGTAGCTGGGAAACCATTTCCTGAGCAAAGGGCTTCAGCTAGGAAATCACTTTCGGGGCATTGGACCTGAGGCCTAAGCATAATCAGACACATGATTTAAACATAACATGGTTTCTCTTACATGACAAACCCAAAGTAGAAATCAACAGCAAAATAAAAGACAAATAATAGGATACTGGGAGACAGATCTTTTCTAAATGGGGAGGGGCCAAGAGATGCAGGGAGGGAGGAGGGAAGGTGGGGGAAGGGCACATAACAAGAATAAAGACGTGTTAGGCCCCTGCACCAACTACCCATGATTAATGTAATCATTGTGTATTACAAAAAGGTACTGAAAAAACAAACATTAAAAAGGTAGAATCATCTCCCACAAATAAATAGATAAACCACACTTGCTTGCTGGAAACCAGTCCTAACTGCTGCTCCCTTGAGTCCCGAGGGGTAGCAGAGCCTGGGCAGCTGATGCAACCGGCTGGGAAGGAAGAGGTTTTCAGCATGGACTCTGCCTACTGGGAACAAGCTGCTGCACTGCTGCAGAGACTCCTGAGGCATCTTTACCTGAGAGAGAATACCCCGTCAGTGAGGACACTGTCCACAGGTTCTTAGGTACCCGCGTGACCTGCCCCATTCCCCCTCACACCTTCCACACTGCCAGCCATCCAGCAGTTGCCGTTTCAATCTTTAATTTGTTCCACAGATACTAACTGCGTGACTCCTGGGTGTCTGGGGCTTGGGAGCAGGATGCTTACCGTCTGGTAGCTCTATGAGTATTTTCACACATGCTCTGTGTCACTGATGCTCTTCATTGCCTTTAATCCTGGGAAATGTCCTCCTTCCTCCACATAATGGATAACTACCCAACCATAGTTTTCCTATTTATTGTTAAAATTAATTTTGCTGTGAAAGTGAGACCAAACCCTTTAGTTTTCAAAATTTTTCTGAACCTAAATGATCAATTACCCCAATATTCACGTATACTTGACTGTTTAAGATTGAAGTATAATCCATTAAGGAGCCCAGGAATTTACTGTGCAGAGCCCAATGTGGTACCAGGGTAGGTGCCCTCCAGATCAAGCTACAGAAACTCCCACCTCCCTAACCCACCGCTGTGCCCTCCCAGGAACTTCCCAACCTGGGATAATAAGCATTCTGAATGTACCCCTGGGGTCCTGCTCTTATGGGTGCAGAGTTTGTTCACTGGCCAGTTTGTGTGTGGCTGGAGAGTCCTGTAGCATAAATTCCACTCAGGGCTGCCCAGATCCTGGGTGTCCTCCAAGACTTCCAATGTAAATGCTTAGGGCCTGATTTTGTCCTGAGCAATGACCGTCGTCATTGAAACCCCAGTACAAAATATGAGAAAGAGAAGTGTTGGCAGTGTTATCACAGAGGCTGGAACTGGACCCTAGAGACTTTCTAGCTGGTCTCTGTGTTCCTCTGCTCAGAAAACTTGCAGTATCATTTCTACGGACATAAGAGTACTTTCCTGTATTCACTTGGACTTTTACTTTAAACTTTCTATTGTGAAATTTTTAGATCTATAAGCAATTACATAGATAATACCTTGCAGTTCCTGTGTCATTAGCGTTCGCTTAGTTTCTCCAAGTGACAATGTCCTTCCAGAATCACAGAACTTCAGATACAACTTTTAAAGAACGACTCCCTATTCCTAAATAATCAGAAATGATTAGTGTTGAAAAGTACCTTGTCTTCCTTCATTTTCTCCCAATAAACACCACGATAATTAATAATGCTAATCACCTCACATGTTAATCTCTCATCGTGGTCAAGTACACTACTAGTATTCCACATCATGATTTAATTTCATTCAGGGCCTAAGTTTAATTAGAGCTAAGAAAAGAAGTTGGGACCGAGGCTGACAAAAACAGGGTCACGCACCTGTACTGGGTCATCACCAACTTCAGGGCTGCGTTTGGGTAAGAGTCCCAACAACTGTGTCCACTAGTGGTCACTGGGGGAGACAAAAGGGGAAATGCAGTCCCTGAGGAGGAGCGAGGGAGGGTCCCGGCGCAGGCTGTGACTTAAGGGACAGGACCCTGGGTGAGGGTTGGCTCAGCAGGGAGAAAGAACCTGGAGAGAGGAAGCCTGGCCAGTGTTGGGGTAAAGGCAGTGGTGGGGATTCCTCAGAAGAAATGCAAGGAAGACCAAAGAGCAAAGGAGAGGGCGGCTTGGACTGCGGAGCTGGGACCCGGGATAAAACCCCCAGGAGCAAGGACCCAGTCCAGTCCAATCTAACAGGGCACAGCTGTCTGGTGTCTCATGTGATGAGTGAGAAAAGAGAGAGATAACAGGAGGAAGGAAAAGAGGCCTGAATTAGGGCACAGGAGGGCTGATGAAGAGATGCAGGCACCCTCCAGAAGCTTCTGGAAAAAATGAGGGTTTTAATTTAGAACGTTAAAGGGGCGCAGCTAAAGAGGCAAGTGGAGTGACAGTTTTAACAGTTGCTAGGAGCCTTTGCGCATGCGCGAAAAGCAGGAGGCCTTACTAGTAGGTTTGAAAAGAACACAAGGGGGCGCTGTCCAGCGCCCAAGGGAGCTGGTACCTAAGGAAAATCCTACCAATTATGCTATGCTCTTTCTACCCAGAAGCAAACTTGACACTCACTGAGGCCCCTGAGGTGAGGAGTGCTTTTGAATATAGGTGGGAAAATCAAGACTCTCAAGGCCAGCAGCTTGGCAGGGGCACACTTTTGTGCACAAGTCTGGTGTGGACTTCTGGCCAGCTCTCGTCCAGAAAGCTCTTCTCCTGCTAAACACCAGCAGGGATGGAGCTCAGCATATCAGACACTGGGACACACACTGCCTTCACTTCCCTTCCTAGAGGTTTAAAGTCTTGGTGTGAAAAGAACAGGAGGCCTGTCTTCACAGGACTCCAACGAGATCCCTTCTGTGGTCCTTATGCAGCTGACCAGCCTCTGTGACCTGTTCTGTGCCCCAAAGGAGCAAGGTGGGAGGGGGACAGCAGCAGGCCAGCAGCACCAGCAAGGGGGCCCTGCGGCTTCCTCATGAAGGCTGCTGCCTGCGCTCTACACTCAGCTCTTCATTTTGCAGCTATTTTTCTTCTGCCTATGAAAACAGTTTCTGCTCATGTTAATCTAGGCTCACTGGGAAACAGAGGACAACACCGACAAAAATGTAATTCAGATATAGGCACCATTACCATTTAGTGTCCCACCTTCCCTGTGTGCACCTGTGGGGATATCTTTTCCCCCACGTGATGGTAAAGAATTAGAGTCAGTTCTTAGTCATTGCATCATTCAGCTATTTTCACAGTGATGCTGCATAACAACCTCCAAACTCATCACTAATCACTCTTTGGCTCCTGTGCTGATGTTTGTGAGTGAGCTGGGGTTGCCTGGGAGATCTAGGCCTGGCTGAGCTCCAGGCTGTTGACTGGGTCTAGATCTGTTTCAAAGGTGTCTCATCCTGCAGGCACCAGAAAGACAAGGGGATCATGTTCTCCTGGCGGTGGCAGAGCCCGGAGGGGAAGTGCTGCCACCCAACACATTCTGAGCCCCTGCCTGCATCATGTAGGTCAGCATCACCAGCTCTTCACCTGGCCAAGTCCAGAGCAATTGATCATAAGTATGTTCTGCTTCCCCAGTGGAAAAATTCAGGAGACAAAATGTGTAGATAAAGGAATTGTAAAGAACTTGGAGAAGAACTATCCCTTAGCATAATTGTTAAAATTCTTTAAAAACTGTTTTTAATCACCATATTACTTTTCTTCTTAGGTATGTATTGTAGAGAGTCAATAAGTTCCCTGTTCACTCACATTTATATGAAAATTAGTGCTTTTACCTATGACAATACACAGCCACTATTGCCATACCTACAAACTGGGTTTTGTCTTGCATTTTGAGACAGTGTCTTGCCATGTAGTTCAGGCTGAACTTAAACTCACTGTGTAGCCCAGGCTGGCTTAGAACTCACAGAGATCCTTCTGCCTCAGCTTCCTGAGTCCCAGGACGGTAGGCATGCACCACCACTCCCTGCTACACCTTAAGTTTTTCTCAAGAAAGCTTTGTTACTATTTTGAAAGGAAAAAAGTCTGTGTGCTTTTCACTGGGGACAAACACACAAGCTTGAATCTCACTTCTCTCTCATACACACACTATTTCACTGCTTCTGGCCACTTAGATTCTCAGAGTGTCAGTGCCTCAGAGAGGCCCAAACGGGACTTGTCCTTCCCCATTGCCCACCCTCAGCAACATGGTGAATGTTTAAATGTAACATTTTAAAATGTATTACAGTAAAAGACACATTCCCATTACTCTCCTCCTCTCTGAGCACACTCATCACATTACTCTTGCCACTTTCTGAAACAGTTCTGAAAGTCTTCTTACATCAGTGTCTTTTTCTAGCTGTCTCATTGTCCTGAATTGATTCAAGGCATTTACAGCAATTTCTGTCATGTGAAAACGTGACTGTGTTTCCTCATCCACCTTATTCACCAACCTACGACCATGTGACTGGGTGTCTTCCTCAAAATAAAATTGACCATGAACAGTAAATGTTTTGAGTAAATTCATGATATCTAGGCAACCACAAATATCAGCTAGACAGTAACTTTTGAAAATTTAAATATTCCCCTTATATGTCAAGCTGTCATGGTGCCTGTTATTAATACTCTAATTTCTTCATGTAATAGTACAAACCCCTGTGTAGAGAAAATTATTTGCTTGCTAGTTTATGCCTGTCTCCTCACTGAAATGTAAACTCCACGTGTCTACCTTGCTTCCTTCCTTTTTTACTGAGTCCCCAAGTCCTGGGATGCATTACGGTTAGCACCTGGCAGGAACTTTTTATTTGTCTGAAAGTGAATGAAAGCCTCGCAGGTTCACAGGCACAGGCCCTGGCTCCCAGCCTCTTTGTTCCCTGTGCACCCATTCAAGTGTCAGCCAGCTCTCAGCCAGTGGTCCCACCTGGCTCTGGAGAGCTCCTTCTCTGCGTTCTGTAACTTCCACCCCCTTCCTCCTGCAGATCTTTACCCCAGGTGTGGCATGGCTTTTCCTTCACAATCCTTTAAACACGAAGGACTCCATTAGACCTTCTGTCCAAAACATGTAAGCTACAATGGCATCTGCCCATGGGCATTGACTCTCAGATGGTGGGCCTGGATTTGCTTGGACCCACAGCTATGTGTGTAGGTATATGTGCACTTGTGTGTGTATTTGCTTTTTATTTACAAAGTAGGCACAGTGAACCTCTAGCCCAGTACTTGTCTGTGTCCACATTAGCCAGGGAGGAGTGCGCAGCCCTGTGATATCAGGGTTGCTGGACTTTCCTACTCTGAATTTCTCCAGCCTTAGGAGGGGGCAGCCCTGAGATCCCGAGACTGAGGCTCTCCCTTTTCCACAGGCATTGCTGACTTGAAGCAGCAGCTGCAGATGCCTCACCTGCCCATCCTGCTCCCAGAACTCAACTGAAACACCTAAAAGTAAGTCATCTCCACTGCCTCTGCCCACAAATACCGCAATGACTCAAATGGTGTTCATTCATTCATTCAACAACCTCAGGAGGTATGGGGTACTGTGGCCACCAGCGCAGGCCTTGCCTGAGGCTTCCTATACGGAACGAAGGAGGTGGCACAGACAGTGCTTCCAGAGTGGTCAGGCAGGCCCAGATGCTACAAGGTGGTGACAGGTTTTCCAAGGTGCAGGCTCCAAGTACAAATAAGCTAGATGAATGCAGAAGTGATGGACCAAGTGTCATTGATTCTTTCCAAAGGATTTCTCAGAGTCTCCATAGCATGAGGCCTTGGGACTCTCCATGTGTGGATGGACTTTGCAAACTCAGACACTGCATGGCACAGGTGTGTGGGGAGCCAATGTGGGAAATGGCTCTTTATCTTGTGGAAGTAGATGCATGGGCCTGGGGCTTAGTTCTCTGCACCCCCCCCCCGGCTATGCTTGGGTCAGATTCACGTTGTATCTGCAGGGGAGACTCCAAGGTGGCCCTGAAATTTCTCTTGGAGTTTCTGCTTCCTTTTCAATAACAGGATAATGAAGCACTTTATCTGATTGTACTTGGGGGAAACACAGCAACTAACACATGAGAAATCATGGCGCCGATGATTTTGTTCTTTACAGTTGCTCAACATATGTCTTTCTTCCCTTTCTTCATTCTCTTCTTTCTCCTTTTTATCCTTTCATCTATCATATGTGCTGTTCTGTATTTTCTAACTTTCTTCCTTTATTCATCTAACCATTCATCCAGCCAGCCATCCAGCCATCCAGCCATGCATCTTCCGTCCTTTCCTTCATCCCTCCTCTCTTTGTCCTCTTGGCTATATGGCACTTGGGCACATTTTCCCAGCCAGTTTCCTTCTCTATGACACAGGCACCGTGGTAAAATCCACCATGTGGAGTTGCTGTGAGGACTCGATGAGATGGTAAGTACATGCCAGGGGCTCACTTTAGGCCAGGGATACAATGAAGACCTAGTACATGGTAGCTATGATAATTTCCCTTCCCTTTTTCCAAAGTCTCTGCTTCACTTTTATTTCATTTTCTTTTATGGTGGGTCCATAGGGAAAAGACCTGTGTCTCTGGCCTAACCTAGATTCTCATTGCTGCCAGAGAAACCAGGGAAGGGAAAGAGCCTCATTTTTCAGAACAGGAAACTGAGATGGTGAGAGGTCATGGACCGAGCTGGTGGCAAAGCTGCAGCTGACACCCTGCTCCTGCCCTCTCAGCTCCTGGCTCCTGCTCAGTCAGCCACATCGTGTGTCAGGCTGTTGTGGGGGAGCTGGGAGGCACCAGGTTGTTTTGGGGGTTTGAGAGGAAGCTTTGTGTGTTTCTCTAGGTGGTGGCACGGGGATGGCACAACCAGGTGACTGTGATACATTTACACAGAGGAGGCCCCCATTTTCTTTTCCATCAAATGTGTCCCTGCCAAGCTCCCCAAGGATGAGAAACAGCTGGCAGATGGGCACTAAAGTGGTGTGGATGATGTGCACTGTCAGGAGCTGCACTGGTACGTGCTTCTAGGCCTGCAGTGAGCTGAGGGAGGGTCAGCCTGACCGTCCAGGGAGCACTGTGGCCCTGCTTTTCTGGTGAGCTGCCTGCTGCTACCACCATCCAGGGTCCTCAGTACCATCATGTTGTAGCCCTAGCTATCTCTCCAACAGCCTTGTTTGAACACACATAGGGGGCCATGTCTTAGTTACTTTTTACTCGTTGCTGAGACAAAATACCTGAAGCCCTAGGTTGGGAAAGGAAAGGTTTATTTCTTACAGTTTCTGGAGGTTTCAGTCCACACTTAGTTGGCTCCAAGGCAGGCGGGCATGGCTGGGCTGCAGTTCATGGTGGCTGCAAACAGCAAGCAGGAACCAACAAAGAGCAAGACATACTTTCTTCCTGCCATTACATCACATTCCGGCTCCACCCCTAGGTGGGTGTAGCACTGACACCATCAATCCAAGCACTAGACAATGCAAATGCAGAAATGCACAATGCAAACTCATGAGGCCTGGGGGACAAAGACATAAACCATGACACTGGCCATCTTTCCTTGTTCCTTCCTCTCAAGACTAAGAAGTGGCCACACTTTCTGTTTCCACAGACATACCTGGCACCCTGCCTGCAGCCATATGGTCTCCATACAGAATCCTTTCATATCACAGCTCTCATGATGTAGACTGCTCAGGAACTCAGGCTCTGCCCAGGCAGAAATGAGAGCCAAACAACAGAGCTGCCCTCTTTCCCTGTGGTCACCTGGACCTCTAGTAATGAGGAATAACAGGGGAGGAGCAAGAGAAAGGGCAAGGAGAGACACTCACACCACACTGAAAGCCAAGGGAGGTGCCGGAGCCCTGAGAAGAGCCCTCCAGCACTCAAAGTCCTGTAAATACAAGGCTGCACCATACAAAGTGGCTCCTCAGGTCACTTCCTCACTTAGAGATGTTTATCCTTTTCCATCTCCCTATTTATCTGAACACTGAGTCTCTTATCCATTGACCCACTCACGTACCCATCCACCCACCCACACCATTCTTCCATTATTCCTTACCTGTGTAACATTTATCCACCCATCCATCACTCACCTTCTCATCCATGGATCCACCCGCCCCTTCCCCCACTGACCAGTCCATCCATCCACCCAGCACCCCTATTATTCCTCCCTGCATCCACAAGGTCAGACCCCGGAGAACAGCGGGCTGAGGTGAGGGCCTGGAGTCTCAGGTCTGACTGACTGCAGGCTTCTGAAGAGCTCCTCAATGCTCAGGCCTAGGAGTGGCCAGGGGCTTGTGGAGAGCTCATGCCTTTGTCCAGTGTGTCCCTGTCCACAAAACACCCCCAGAAACTGGAGATTGCACCATTCTCAGACTGTCCCACTGCAAACACTCTTCAGGGACTGAATAGCACCATTCCTCCACCAAACCAGTGGTCCAGATCCAGTCTCAAGTCCAACAAATAAGTCTTCCAACCCCATATGGAAGGACAGGGAGAGGCTGTGCAGGCCCTGGAGAGGCCCCTCAGTCCGCAGCCCCAGGTGAGGCATGGGATTTTTTGGCCTGGTTCCTCTTTTCTCTGTCTCCCATGTGGCAAAACGGAAGGACAGCAGCAGCAGGCTCAGAGTCCCAGCTATGCAACAGGAGCTGGAAGCTTCTCTGTGGAGGGTGCAATCCACCAGGGACCTGAGGGCTCCACCCCTAGGGAAGGAGAAAAGCAGAATCTTCCAGGTTCCTGCCACAGCAATGCCAGACTTTGACCACCAGGCGGCGCCCCGGCGCCTTCTCAGAGCATAGGAGGCGGAGTCTCGGAAAGGAAGGGAGACAGCGCTGTGCAGGGGAGGCTGGTGCAGTGAGGCGACTGCTCTGGAAACCATCTCTCTCCTTCAGCCTCCTGCTCAGTGTGCCTGAGCGAGAGTTGGGAAGGTGGGGGTCGCATGGTGGGGTGCGGGGTGGCTGGGGAGAAGGGTAGTAGAAAGGCAGGGCCTTCAAAGAATGAGACGTGTTCTGGGAGGAGTCATGAGCAAAGTTCCCTGGGGAAGCCCCAGACCCAGAGGTTGCACTGGGTGAGGTCTGTACTGCGCATGTGCTGGCAGTGGAGCTCTTTGTATAAACCTGTGGGTGGAAGGCTGTGGGCTCTCCACGTGTACTCCTGAGTTCTGTAGGCCCGAACTTGTGTTTGTGTGCAAGCGCCAGAATTGTGTATGAGTGATCAGTAGGGGTGCCATGCACATTCTGTGTTTTTTTTTTGGCCTGAGTATTGGTGTCAGTGCACCAGTGAGCTTACACACACCTGGGTGAATGCATACACTAATGCGCCTGGGTGCATGACTCTGTCTCTCCAGACTCTCAAAGTGGCAATGATCCGGGTCGCCTGGCCCACAATGGACTCCCTGTTGGTGCCTTTGTCTCCCAACACCAAAGTGGCTTCTGTGCTGAGGCAGCTCAGAGTGCCTTGGCCCTGGTTCAGAGGCTGAAGACCCCAACAGGTCACACCCAGAGTAAGGCCTCTCCCAGAGGCCTGTGCAGCAAGGGATCAGCACCCAGAGCTGCAGGCTGTGGGAGGTGGGTTCTGTAGGTTTGGGATGGGCATCTCAGGTTCCCTTTTCTATGGTGGTCACATGTGGGTTCTCCAACCTTTCCAGGAACCTTTGTAACTCCAAATAATAATGAGGGTGACCATCATTTAATTGCTTGGTTCATTTTCGAAGTATTTACTGAATGCCTGCTGTAGGCCTGGACTGGGTGGTATGCTAATATAGTGAGGAAAAGAACAGACAGAGTTCCTTGGCTTTATCAGCTTACAGCCATGTGGAAGAGATACACACAAGTCAAACAGCTGGAAAAATAAACAAGTGAAAAACTGTATTAGATTCTGCAGGAAATACAGGAAGCAATGGGTATGTACAATAAGGTACCTAGGATAACCTGGGAGGCCTCCAGGCCCAGAAAACTGTATGTGCAAAGGGTCCTGAGGTAGCAAGACACACAGCGTGGCCAAATAGAGCTGAAGGAAGCTCAGCAGGGCTGACATGTAGGCATTTTCCCAGATGCAAGAAGCAGCCCAAGCCCAGAAGCTTCCTTCCTTTCACGGAGATTCCCAGGGTGCCAGGGCTTAGCAGGTGCCAGGTCAGTTCCTTCTATAGATCAGAAAACCAAAGCCCAGGGAAGGGAAGGGGTTTCTCCAGAGCTGCACAGTGAACCAGAGGCAGAGCCTGGAAATGAGCTGAGGACAGTGATAATTATTTATGATAATCCTATGATTGTTATACCATCATTATAATTATCATACACAATAGTACATTGTCCTTAATCCATCTTAATCCTGAGTGTGCCCTCATAGCAGGCTTCTGTCCTATTTGTCACAATTTATTCTAAGGTCCTTGAAGTTTCTATTCTGGTGAACAGCAGGAAGTGGCCTGTGTTAGGGACTGTCCATGCTGGCCCTCACTACATGCCACCTGCTGTGTCTGGAACTCAAGGTTCCAGCTCTCTCAGGCAGGTCCTTAGCCTCTCCTCCCGCCTGGGATCCAGTATCAGTGGAGACCGCCCTCTCAGGCCTGGCCTCCTTAAGCAGCTGTTGGTTTTGCTGCATCCAGATGAGGCCAACAGTTTTTGTTTTTTTCCCTCTGTCTTGCAGCAAGTCCAAGGAGTCAGCCAACTTCCTCCTCCATGAAGTTGGTGGGAGTACCAGCAAGTTTCCCCGGGAGAAATGGCCCAGAGCCTAGGTTCTTGGAAGTTCCATGACCTTGAAGCTTCATTTGCGCCCTCTAGGGAGGTCAGAGTCCACTTGGGGATGGGCCTTCCCCTGGGTTCCTGTCTTCAGTGAAAGCTGGTAGGTGCAGGGTCAGCCCTGTCTGCCTTGGGGATGCATCCAGCCATGTGCAGTTTTGCCTGCAGCTGGCCTTGGGCTTGGAAGGGGACAGATTGTGTTTTAAAGTGAAGGATGTGAATCCCCCCATTGAAACTGATGTATTCAGGACACCCTCTTTAGGAGGTCACCTCATGGGCTCATGGGTCATAAATTCCTTTAAGAATTCTGCAGACAAGCTTCTATGTCTGAGCCTCCAATTCTAGGCACACAGCAGAGTCCCCTGCAGGACACCGTGCCCTCCTCTGAGAGTGCACATTTGTAACAAGGTCCCCAGAGTTGACACATTCCAGGTGATTCTGCCCTCTCCAGAGTTGCTGTTCCTAACACAATGATTCAAGATGAAGGCCTCCACAGGCCTCACATAATTCACTTTAGCCGTGTTGAGGGACTGATGACCATAATGCTGACTGGTAGCATGATCCCAGCCTCCGTGACCCTGACACTTTTCCCTGCTCTCCCTTCTTGCCCTCCTATCATACAGAGGCAACCAGGGGCCTCTAAAATGTACATTGAATCCTCCTGCATGCTCTGCTACCAAAAACCTTCCAGAGGGATCCCACATGCCTTAAATCAATTTCTTAGTGAGGCTAGTGTAATGTCCCCTTTTCTGACATCTCCTCCCCCTCACTTTCCTTGCTCTGTAGTCAGCCACACCAACCTCCTTCTGTTACTCAACTATCAGGTGGGGTCTTTGTACCTTCAATTTTCTCTGCCTGGAGCCCCATTACCCCACTCCCACAGCCAGTGGCTTCTACCTCAGGGTCTCAACTCAGAGGTCCACTCCCCGTCAAGGCCTTCTCTGACCAATGCACCTGAAGTTGCTTGCATTGCTTCAGTTACTTTTCTGCCCAGCTTTTATCACTCCCTGAAACTATGTTATTTAATTCTCCCTGAAGAGGTAGCACCAGAAAGGCAGAGACCACATGAGATGTCTCTCCTTTCGGTGGATGTGGTGGTACTAATAGGTGCCCAGGATTGGTTGGGTTAGGAATGAAAACATGATTCGCTCTCTATTCTTTGTCTTATTTGCTCCAGAAACTGTTGCTCTCTATTCTCCCTGCTTGATAGATGTAAATGGGAAAACACATCAGAAGGACCTGTAGCAAGTGTTTACAGTGTTCTCTTCAAGATTAATTATTAATAAGGCCCAGGAAGCTTGAAAGATGACTGATGATATTTCCCCCAGCAGTTCCCAGCACCTGCACTGGTCCAATTGCATCCTCCTTTCTTCCCTCCCTGCCTCCCTCCAAAGGCTGTGATGAGCAGGGCAGTGTCATTGGAGGAAAAGTCAGGTGCACCAAAGAGTTCTGGGAATCCAGGCCCAGCAAAGCTAACTCCACATTCTGCTTGGCCTCAGCTACCAGTGAAAGATCTTAGTTTAAACATATGTCAGTTTCCCCATTCATTTTTTGGTGCTATCTGAGGCTCCTGTTTCTCCTGTGGCATTGTGGTTACTGATGATCCCGCAACCCCTTCCCCTGGTTTAACACAGCTCACAGTGGGTGCCCAGCTTTTTGCTCTTTGCAGTCTGGCTTGGAATGGGCTGGGGTGTGTTTGCTTTAAGGAGCCCATGAGGAAGTGAATCACACCCTTCCCCAATTCCTATGTGGAAGCGCTAAGCCCCAACGTGGCTGTATTTGCACAGACCCTGTATGGAGGTAATCAAGGTTGAAAGATTCATAAAAGATAGGACTGCAATCTGATAAGACTAATGTCCTTTTGAGAATGGGAAGAGACTCCGAAAATCTTCCCTCTCCACCCAGAGCATAGAGGAAAGAGCACAGGAGGGCACAGCCAAGAGGCAGCCCTCTCAAGCCAGGGAGACAAACAGCACTGGAAACCAGACTTTCTGGCATTTTGACCTGGGACTTCTAGATTCCAAAACTGTGCAGAAGTAAATTTCTGCTGTTTGAGGAATCCAATGTATCCTGTTTTCCATGAGTCTCAGGAATGAATAGGAGGCCCTTGCTGGCTGCAGCTTCTGAGAGGAGGAAGGATGGGATTTGCAAAGATGTCCTCAGATGGAAGCATCTTCGTGAACAAACGCAGAAATGGCTCAAGAGCAGAGGGTGAGTCTCATCTGGTGTTCAGGTAGGCACTTCCTGGGCAGAAGCAACATTTAGCAGAGGCCATGGGGGATTGGATAGCAGTTCTTGGGTCCACCATCTGTGGGGGGCTGTGGACAGCTTGCCAACTCTTTGTGCTCCTGGAGATCAGTCTGCTGTTTCTAAATCACAAACAAGACGAGAGGATGACATGAGGAACTCTACAGTCACTCAACCATCATCTAAGTCACTGCTGTTCACACAGCCAGCGACAGGCCAGGCTAGAGCAAGAGTGACAAAGAAGTCAGGTTAGGGCCCAGCCATCATGCATGAAGAGCACAGATTCACCAACTTAGAGAAGACAGTCGAATAAAAGGCAAAGGAGACGATTCAAAGGGTCTTGGTACCCTCCAAAGTAGGCCTGTCCAAGCACTGAAAGGCAAGTTTGTGAGGGATGCGACTCCAAGGAGCCCCAGGTGAGGGGTGGGGAAGTGAGACCAGGAGAAGGAGTCTGGGAGGAGGCAGGGAGCGGGTTACTGGTGTGGGCAACAAGGCTGCGCACTGCAAGGTGTGCTGGGAAACAGTATAAAATGCAACAGGACCTCTTTGCTCAGAGGAGCAGAGGAAGCAGAGGTCCTAGAACCGTCCACCAGCGCCCTCCCGTGGCTGGCTGGGGCCTCTTCCCAGGTGCTAACCCCCTGCATTTCTAGCCACCTGCAGTGAAGATGAGCACCCTGCTGTGACAGGGAAGATCTTGCACAGAGCCTCCAACTGGAGTGGCATAGAAGTGCTGGCTACGAAAAGAGATTGGCATGACAGGGCCCAGGAGGAGTGGATGGGAGGGATGTGACCTCCAGATGTGGTGACACTTGACACTAAAATGAGGGGAGAGGCCAGCCATGGGAAAGCTGGGAAAAGGAGATGTGCAGGTAGAGGGACCTCAGCCACAGCTGCTGTGTGCATCATGCAGGTTAGAGAGGTCTCCTGGGCTGAGCCCTGGCTCAGGATCTGCATGAAGTTTCCCTTCCCATCAGGTCCTTCCACTCCAACCTTCCCACACACTTTAACTGGAGCCTCTGATTGGCTGGCCCAGAGAGGAGGCGGGACCTTTGACTGCCCAATCACAGGAGGTCTGGGCCCTTCATTGGGAGGAGCAGAAAGGAGCTCCGCTCTGGGGAGGGTATAGAGGAGCAGGGCAGGCTGAGGGGTTCTGTGCCCTTCTTCTCTAGCGCTGCCAGAGGTGGCAATGAGTCTTGTCTGGTCCCTCAGCTACAGGACTTGCACACTGCACTGAACAAAAACTTGTATTGTGCGCCAGGCAATGGCAAAGGGAATAAGAAACTGACTCAATGCAGTCTAATCTTTTGGAATTTGTAGTCCACTGGAGGAGGTGAGTAGCGCTCTACACAGTAATTGCAATTGTGGTGAAAGGGGAGAAGGATAGGGAGCCGCAAACACATAGGACACAGTTCAGGAGCAGGTCTGGAGCAAAGCAGAAGCCACCAGAATATATGCAGCTGGAGCTTCTGTGGACCCCTAAGTGGCTTCACCCACAGACTAGGGTTAGGGGGAGTCCCCTGGTTTTGAGGCCTGGATGGAGAAGGAGTGTATGCTTTTGCTGCATGATGCAAATCTCTGAACCAGGAGCTGGGTAGTGAGAAGCTAATCTCCTCTACTGCTAGAGTCCCAACTCAAGGTGCCTTACACTGAGTATTCCCCACCTGCATGGCAGCCACTTTGCATCATGCAGGAAGGGCAGGGTGCCACTTTGCAGTGTCTCTGAACTGACTGGCAGGTGGCCTGCAGTAGTCTAATGGGGAACCTACAGCTGCCTGTCTGGAAGGAAAAATTACTGTAGTTACACCAATTCCCAAAATGCACCAAGAGCTTTGGACTGAGGAGCTGCAGACCAATGGGCAGTGATGGATAAGAGGAGTGTGATCAGGGGCAGGGGAGATGGTAACATGTAGGGGGACAATGGAGGAGGAGGGAGGGGGCAGTGGCTGATGGGAACCAGGCTCTGAATGGGTGTGATGAGTAGGGAATGCAGGGAAATAGTGATTAGCCAGGGTCCCATTTTCCTTCCTTGGTGAGATTTTTTTTTTCTTTAGTTCATAGCAAACCTCTCAAAATTCTGAAAGTTTTCCCCTCACAGAGCCCCATACTCTACGGCCACATGTTTGGATCTTTGTGTTATGTTTTGTGAGAACTCAAAAGTAAAACAATTAAGGAGGCTGGTGCCTCCTCTGTCCTTTGCAAGTTTTGTCCAGCCCCAGGCCAAAGGCTTGGTCTGCTCTCACAGATGTGGCACCAGAGCAGTCCTACTGAGCCTTGGTGCCCCCACAGCAGGCCACAGGCCAGTTTTCCCCTGCACCCTGCACCCTTTACCCACTCCTCCTGCACAGTAGCAACATTGAAATTGGCTAAGGCTGGACCCATCTGGACCTAAATTCTTCAAATGATGAATTTCTGAAATTGGCTTTTTCAAAATCCCACAGTTTTCCTGCCAATGATTTTTGTGGTTTGGAACCAACTTTACAAGAATGGAGCTGAGCATAACATAGCAGGTATCCTGTCAATTATGTCACAAACCCCTAATTCCCAACATATCATAACACACCTCAAGGAAACATGGGCCTTGAGAAGAAGCCTGGGACTTGTCAGCTCCCGTCTCCCTGCCTCCCCACAGGTGGAGGCAAAAGTGAGTGAAAGCTCCTGCCTCAGCTGTGAGGTGCAGAGCTTCTCTTTAAAATATTTTTTTTTCTCTTTCTGGAAATGCTGGTTGGATGCAAAACATTCCTCCTGAGCTATATCCATTACTCTTATTTTCATAAGATTTTTCTTTTGAGACAGGGACCCTAAATGGCCTGGCCCAGGCTTGTACCTGAGATCCTCCTGGGTCAGCCTACCAGGGTACTGGGGTTACAGTACTTTGTATATAGCCCGAGCATCCAGCTGAAACTTTTCCTTTTTGCTCCAAGACCCAGTCCTGGAGCACCGACTGCTGTGCCCAGCGGCAGTGAGTCTTGCTGGAGAATATTTTGGGGGAAGGAAGTCCAGGCTGGTAGCTCTGCAGCAGCTGGCGATCACTGCAGAGATGTGGCCCCTTAAACCAGCCTGGCTGACCCCTCCCATGCTTTCCTCATCCAACCCCTGCTAGACTTTGGTTCCTGGAGCTCTGCCTGAGGCAGCCACCACAACAGCCTCTGCCATGGCCACCAGGGCCACCTCACTGAGACAAGGACAGCCCTCATTACTGCTGAGAATTATTTCCCTGCTGCGGTGTTGGAGGTGATTTCACTCATGCTGCATCTATGGGCTTCTTCAGCAAGTCCAGTAAACCAAGGCCTAGAATTTCTCTGCCAAGAATTTCTTTATGCTTTGCCATATCTTTGGCAGTTTCTGTCACTCTTTTTTCTTGATGTGTAACATTCATTTATTCTTCTTACATGAAACAATGTTTATTTCAGTGGAAATAATTTTAATCAAAGAATTGTACATTTTTCTCTCCACTTACGCTGCTTTGAACTGGGGAATGACACTGGAATCCATTTCCCTACAAGTAAAATATTACAAAATTGTTACATGAAAATATTTCTTTTCTTATTTTATATAAGAAAGACTAAACAAAACATAAAATGGGTGGAATAACACATATGTTCAAAGAAAAATAAACAGTAAGAAATCACTAGTTGATGTTTACATACTATCCTTTTACAAATAGTTGTTCGAGATACAAAAGTGGAACATATAAAGTGGGAATTCAAATAGCAAGATTGCAAATAGTTCTGTTCAACTATCCAAAAATCCTTAGTAATATGGTTATGAATCGTATACACTTAACATACATGCAGTTATCCATATCTTCATTTATATTGATATTAAACAAACTAAAGCAGGCTAAAATCATTCTGAACAAAGAATAATAGTATTTCTGGATTTCACATCATCAGACATAGTATTTTCAAATCATAGTATTTCATATCATCAGACATAGTATGATTGGATATATCAGTCCATAACAGTATTCATAAAAACACAACTTTATATATAGTATGAAACTTCAAAGACAGGCAGTTATCAAACCAGAATGTGTATCGTAGTGAGTCTTGTCATCTTCAGTGTAGTTGCCTGTACTCTCAGACTTGATACTATCAATTATATCAGTTTGGAATAAAATCTGTGGATACCAAGCAGCAATCAAACAAACCAGATTTAACTAAGAACAGTCATGATAAAGCAATATAAGTCATACAGGGTTCCAGATTAAGTTAATAAGAAATTAAAGATCATTACTGTGCTATATCCTGATGTTTTGGGGATAGCTGTCTGTGCCCTCAAATCTAATGCAAGTAGACAAACTGGTACAGAATAAAATGTATCTAAGCAGAGTGGTGTAAGTAATGTGGGTTTTAAATCCTGATACACTATTAACAATATCTTCTGCCACTTTTTTAAAGACTCTCCCTCTCCTTTTCCTCCCCAGGGTATACTGCATTTTTGGATCACACCAAGACCCTTGGTTTTCAGCTAGGGGGAGGCAACCTGCTATTTACCTAAGTGGTTCCAAAACTTTTGTCTCCTGGATTGATCTCTAATTGTATACCCTTACATATTAAAGCCTGTCTTTCCAACCTATCCACAAATACTGTTCTAGTGGCCCTATTACTTTCTGGTTCTCTGTCACATAGAGCATTGTTTTCTCGTATTTGATTTTCAGTCCATGTACTCTTTTTCATGTTAATTATATTTCCTATAAATAGCATCTATCTCGGTGGGCCCTACCTCCTGATCTACTCCACAAGTTTTTTTCTAAATTTAGTGTTTCAAGGACATCTATATTAGAGATTACAACCAACCTTCTCTGCCTCATTTCTGTTATGCTCTCTTTTTTGCCATCAGTTATCTGCTTGTCTTCTTCATTCTGTTTTCTGCTCCATTCATTGAGGCCTCTCTGCCACTGTTCCTTGATTCCTAGTAATTTTCTTTCTCTCTAGAATGCCTTGCAGTATTCTCTGCAGAGTTGGATTGATGGTTGCGAATTTCCCAAGTTCCTCTTTGTCTTGGAACCATCTTGTTTCTCCATTAATTTCTAGAGACAGTTTATCAGGGTATATCAATCTGGGTTTGAGGTTGCTTTCTTTCAGGGCTTGGAATATTTTGCTCCAGGGTCTTCTTGACTTGATGGTTTGTGTTGAGAAGTCTGCTGTTATTCTGATGGGACTTCCTTTATAGATTATCTGTTTCTTGTCTCTAACAGCTTTTAATATTCTGTTCTTATATTGAATTTCTGGGATCTTGCTTATTATATGCCTGGGCGTAGCTCTATTTTGGTTGTAGGTGGCTGGAGTTCTGTATGCCTCATACATCTGCATATCGTTTCCTTTTCTTATGTTTGGGAAGTTTTCCTTAATTATTTCTGGGAATAACCTTTGTAGTTCCTTTGTTTTTACCCCTGCTTCTTCATTCACATTCTTTATTCCCTCATTATAGATACTCTTGTCATGTTCTAGCCTTTGTATTGTTACTGCTTGTTATTTTTAAAAACAAGCATAATCCCACATCATAATCCCACATTGCAAATCTGTCCTCCACTTTGGATAATCTATCCTTAGTTTCTTTCAAGCAGTTTTGCGAGCTTTCCATAGAATTTTTAATTTCCTTGTAATCTCTTTGAATCTGTTTATGTATTCTATATTTTCCTTATATTCTTCATCAAATGGTTCTCTCCTTTGTTTGAGTTCCTCCATTCTTCTGTGTCTTCTTGAGGGGTGCTTAGCATTTCTTTTATTAATCTTCTTATATCTTGCTTTACTTGGCTAAATATTTCACTTTTGAACTTGTCTATGAGGTTTCAAAGATATATCTTTATGTCCACTGGTGCTGCATCTGATATGGCATGTTGGGTGTCCTCATTCTCCTTTTTATTTAACTGTCCTGTGTCAATGTTCTCAGGTTGGGACCTGGGGAATTTTTCTTGTTGCTTCCTCTTCCCATCTTTTTTTTGTTTCTTCCAGGAGGCCCCTGTTTCTTTCTTTGGTGGTTACAATTCTTCTGAAGCATGCTGGCTAGGTGACCCTTCCCACTGCAGTGTGCTAGTGAGTTGCAAACAGGGGCAGTGTATGCTGGCCCTCCTCTCCAGATCAGTAAAGCTGCTGAGACCTTCGTATTACTGTGCACCTCCTCCTCTCTGGATCAGGCCTTCACTGCATTAGTGCTATAGGGAATTGATTTCAGATAGCCTATTGGGTCTCAGCCAGGTCACGTGACCCAGGTCATGTTCTCTAGACCAATTCCATTCTGGAAGGGAACAACTGACTGAAGTCACTGCTGCCCCTTATTTTTGCCAGTCTTGTCCATTCCCAGAATGTCATCCACTGGAGGCCCCCTTTCTGTGGAATGTCTCCACTTCCATCACTCACCACAGGTCAATGCAGGCTCCCTGCCAGCTCAGCTCTCTGTTGAGTTCACTGACCCCTAACCTCAGTGTGACTGCACCTCCAGTGAGTTGAAGTAGCAGCACCTCGGACGGCTTGGCCAGTCACCCACTGCTGCAGGAGCACTGAACCTTTAGCTGTTCCAATAATAGCACCAGGACTGGTTGTTTGATTGGTTCTTCTCACCTTAGTTTCTTTTTGGGATGAGAGAATTCATCTCCCTCTGTTCGGGACTCCCCACACTGTATTATGTTGAATTTTAAGTTAACTATCTCAGGGAGCCTCTGTAGCCAGCTGTTACCTATCTGCCATCTTTGCTTCAATCGAAAATATTTCAAATAAACACTAAAAGTAAGATAAAACAGATTGGTTTGTCTTTGAGAAATTCCAGGGCCCACAGCACACCAGAAGACAGCCAAAATAAATAAGTAAGATATGCCTGGTCACAAGCTTCCCTTAACTTGGAGCCAGGAAGAACTGGGATGAAAACAGTGGTGGGAAGAGAGTGGATGTCACCAGTACTGCTTCGGTAACCGATCTTCTGAAATACCCTCTCTCGCGGGTAGGAAATTCCAAACAAGGCTAAGTTCTGGGATATTCCCTGAAGTGAGATTCGAAACCCCCCTGACAGCGGAAGCAGCTCTTCCCCTAAGTTTTAATGAGTGTCTTGCTCCATGAACTGAGGCTGTGGACAGAAGTCTGTGTCTGCATCAAAATCTGTCCCTGCAGCCCTTCCATCTCTTTCAGCAAAGTTTCAGAAATATCATTTTTAGTTTGTACTGAGAAAGGAACAGAAGCACCAGCTTTGGGGGCTGCTTTGGAAAGAGGCACAGCAGAATCATCCTCTGGCTTTCTTTTTCATAAAGATGTAAGATACTTTCAAAGGGTTCACAAAGGTTTTTACGTTTATCTTTCCCTACTTTCTCATTTAAGTGCAGTGGTTGCACTGAGTTAAACTCCATTTCATCCAATTTCTTCATGTCCTGAGTAAACTGTTTGAGATCCTTCATCTTCAAGACTGAAGCTCATGTCATGTTTTTTGATCTTTATCACTTCCCTTTTCCAGGTTTCCTTTAGAGCTTGGTCGGCAGGGTTCATAATTTTTCAACTCTTGGTGGATGATGTTAATCTCTACCTCATATTGACAATCTATAATGGCTTACTTATTTTTAAAAACAAACACTTCTGCTGGGCTTCCCATCTGCTAAAAGGGAAGAAGGGACGATTGTAGATCCCAGGACACTCAAAGCTATGGACCATGTAGTTTCTTAGATGATGGTATAATCTGGTTGGAGTCAAGCACACACAGTTAAAAACAAAACAGAAAGCCAAGGGAACACAAATACTGCATCAGCAAACAGGAGAAGATGAGAGGCAGTGGGGCACAGCTGGCATAGCAGAAGGGTCAGGACAGGATGGAAACCGAGAGCCAGCTGCAGGAACTGTGGTGCAAGGAGCAGGCTCTGACTTGGGGCAACTTGCTGGTCACGGCAACTGCTGCGATCAGGCTGGCAAACCACAGTGATGACAGGAAGGCAAACAGCTGCTACTGACTAGAGAACAGAAGGGCAAAGAATGGAAAGGCGACGGTCTAAGCACAAAGGTGAGGAGGCTGTTAGGATTGCCAGCTCAGGATGAGACTGCACAAGCAGAAAATAGTATCTCATCCTACAATGGCGTCAATAAAGACGGTGTCAGTTTTAATCTACTGCCTGGTGGGCATGAAGACATAGGCTTAATGTGAAAAAGGGAAGTTCTAGGTGAACAAAACTATAAGCTCAGACTAAGAAGTCTGGCTCACTCCTGAGACCTAGTACTGGGCTGCCATCTTTTCCAGGTTGTTCAAGGCTTTTTACTCAGGATCAGAACATCAGCCTTTCACTATCCTGAAATCCTTTTAGTTACAGGCTTCTGTAAGGCTCCTCTTAAAGGCTCTCACCTAGGAACAGGAAGGTCGACGGGGAATCACTCATAATTTGTGAAAGAAATGAACAAACTGTAAGGCAAGGTGTCTACACATTGCTTAG